AATACAAAACAAAACTACCACAGACTCGAAACAAAGCTATGCTCTAAACACCAGAAACTCTTCACAACAACGCCACACCATGCACAGGAAGCAGCTGCTTAAATACATGGTGTGGCAATCAGGAAATTGCAGTCAGCTGCGGCATTCCCCGATGCTCCAAAGAGGGGCAGGAACAGCAGGAAGAGCCACAGCCAACCTACACAGAGAAAGAAAAACACGCATTACAACAATCAGGAGGAGTAACCCATAACACGCAGATGGAAAAAGAGTGTTTAGCATCTGTCTGGGCCTGCGAACGGTTTGCCTGCTACATCCAAGGCATGGGTCATGTACGTCTACAAACTGACCATAAGCCCTTGGTGCCTTTGATCAACTCATACGACCTTGATAAAACGCCACTGGGATATCAGAGACTGCTGATGCGATTCAATGTCACTGCTGAGCATGTTCCCGGTAAACAGTTAGTGGTTGCAGACGCACTCTCCAGACATCCACTGCACGGATGCTACCCGTCTGAGACAGACAGCCAGGTCAAGGCATATGTGAGCAACGTAGTGACAAGCAAACCTATCAAGTCACAGAAGTTGGAGGAAATTCGTAGAGCTACACAGAGGGACCCACAGCTTCAAAAAGCAATCATCTTCATCAGACAAGGGTGGCCTCGGAGGATGGCAAAGAGCTCACCACTGCAAGGCTTGTATGCAGCCAGAAGCCACCTTTCAGAATCCGATGGTCTAGTGCTCTACCACGATCGCATCATAATTCCCACAGCACTCAGACCCAGTGTCCTTGACCAACTACATGAAGGCCACCAAGGACTAACTAAATGTAGAGAGCGCGCAAGATCAACAGTGTGGTGGCCCAACATTGGACTTCAAATAACGCGCAAGGTGAGGTCATGCATCTTTTGTAGAGAGCACAAGCCTACACAGCGACGGGAGCCCCTCGTGACTACCCCTCTGCCCAGTGGCCCCTGGCAAACGATTGCAGCTGATCTGTGTGAGCTCGAGGGTAAGAACTTTCTTGTTGTCGTTGACTATTTTTCAAGAGACATTGAGATTGCTTCCCTCACTACAACAACCAGCAGACAGGTCATTAACAAGCTAAAACATATGTTCGTTAGATGGGGCATCCCGTTAGAACTGGTCAGTGATAATGGGACGCAGTTCACATCATCAGAGTTCCAAGACTTCAAACTGAGCTACGGCTTCACCCACACTACGTCGAGCCCTCATTACCCCCAGTCGAATGGAGCTGCTGAAAGAGCCGTCCAAAGGGCCAAGTACATTCTCCAACAGCCTGACCCCTGCTTAGCCTTAATGAGTTACCGCTCTACACCAATTGCAGCAACCGGTGCAAGCCCAGCTCAACTTATGACAGGATGTCAAATCCGCACCACCGTCCCAGTACTTGACAAGACATTGCTGCCCAGTCCGGTCAATAGGGACACGGTGCGCCAAAGGGATGCTGCAGCTAAGGACTCTTACAGATTCTCCTACAACCGCAGACATTCAGCTCGTCCACTTCCTGAGCTTCCCCCAGGCCGGGATGTTGTAGTGAAGCTTGACGGGGAAAAGGGGTGGACGACTCCAGCCAGGGTCATCTGTAAGTCCAAAGGGCCGATATCCTACTTGGTGGAGATGGCGAATGGGAACGTGACTCGCCGCAACAGACGACACCTTCAGCCTGTCCCAGGCACCACGGATCCTGAGGAGCAGCAGCAGAGCACGGTTCCAGCTACACCGACTTCTCCAACTAAAGGGGCGGTTGCTTCCCAAGAATCAACAGTAAGGCAGGCATTGCCAGTCCCTGTCCCGGGGTCTCCTCTCCGCCCTACCACACCTGTGAGAGTGACTTCCAGGGGGCGGGAGATTAAAGTACCTCTCAGATTCAGAGACTGAGGGCTATCTTCTTTCTATGTTCCAAGGGCAGAATAATCCCTTAACAGGACTGAGGGTAGTCTACCCCTGTGAGATCCTGCATTCTGACAACACTGTTTTATGTTTAAAGTACCTTTGTTAAAGGGGGAGATGTTGTGAAACCTGTTTATGTGTCCTAGTAAGGCTACCATAGGGGGAGCCACTAGAGGCCGCTAGAATACGGGTGTATTAATGTTCTTTTTCTCCGGAAAATTGATGTAGACACGTTGCTGTTGCTGCAAGAGAATAAAAACAGTTTGTGCTTGAGAACGCTGCGTCTTATTGCCTCTGATCATGACACCTTTTTTAGTTTTTTTTCACATGTAATTTATTTTTTCTAGTTTTTAAGGAGTTTGTGGTTGCGGCTGCAGATAGAGATCAGATATTGACCCTACACTGACCTTCTCCTGGCCTGGAGTAGGTCCACCTTTCCTGGATAGGTTCTGAATTCTTCCTGTAGTTTAAAGTGAAGCATCAGAAACCTCTCGCTGCTTCGTTTGCCTTTTTAAAAAGCTTTGTTCTGGTTTTTAATGTCATTTGAGTCATCTTCTAATGCAGGTTCTCTAACCTCATGACCAAGAACCGGCACCCATCAGTGATCCTCTAGAACCCGACGGCGCAGACAGAACACAAACCTCCCTGAATACTTTCATGTATTTTTAAATGGTCTGCAGGGTGTTTTTTCTCAGTAAAATGCTATAATTGCATGTATATGAGGCAGGCAATGAGATCAATAAAATGCATAACATTTGTGTTAAGTAATGTTTTATTTTGTAGCATTTTATTGAGCTAGGTTATGTTAAGCCCCGCCCCTCACTGGTTTGTAGAATAGTTGTACAAAACAGATTTAACTGCTATTGATTAATTAGATTGAAATATCCCACAATGCATCAGAAGTATGGCGGAACTGGAGAAAGACATGCACCAGAAAAGTCATCTGTTGTCTGGAACTGGGCGACATTCAGCAGGAACCAGAGTTATCGGCGGTTTCCAATTTACTTCCATCCATAAATCCATTTTCTATTCCCGCTGTTCCACACAGGGTCACGGGAGGCTGGTGCCCATCTCTAGCAGTCTTCCGGCAAACAGGCAGGGTGGACCACGGACATCGCAACACACACACACACACACACACACACACACACACACACACACACACACACACACACACACACACACACACACACACACACACACACACACACACACACACACACACAAGCCGGAGCACCCGGAGAGAACCCACACATGCACAGGGAGAACATGCTAACTCCATGCAGAAAGATCCAGGTCGGGATTTGAACCCAGAACCTTCTTGCTGCAAGGCAACAGTGCTAGCCACTGCACCACTGTGCAGCCGAATTTGTGAAACATGTTTAAGCTTTTCACAGCCGAGTGTGAAGCAGCTGCGATGAGAATCAACTCTGTATTCAGGACCACGGTCTGAAGTCAGAAAAGGGTAGAATGCCTTCTGCAGGTCAGGGATGAGGTCCTGCACCAAGTGGAGGAGTTTAAAGAGGGACTGCGCACCATCAGAAAACGTAACTCCAGCCCTAGTCAAGATTTGAAAAATGCTATGAAAGTGGGCGTTGCCAGGAGACACAGAGTGGCATGGCCAAGTGTGGGGAATTTCCATCCTGGGAGGGAGGGGCAGTGGGTGGAGACTGTACTGATGATGTGAAATAGTTCCAGCCCCAGCCAATCACAAGTTTAAAATGAAGTAGCTGCTGTTCGGCCACAGGGGGCAGCACTGAGACACACTTGTCGCACACCAAGTTCCTTCCTTGGCTGTGTATAAACATGCTTTATAAATCAAATGAAGGAATAAATGAATGAATGAGTTTTTATGTTAAAGCCCAAATCCATTTTTTGGTGCACAGCCCTGATTTCACTTGCTGGTTTAGGGCCCGTGTTCACAAAATAATCATTAACGTCATCAATGATTGCCTCGATTCTTCCAATAATCCAGTTGTTCATTATTGGTGCGTGTTGGGTAATTATTAGTACTGGAACATCTAATCACTCCCCATATATCCTTAATATTTCCATGATGTTTTAACAGGTCACATCCAGGATAGCTTCCCATTTACACCAAGACCTTACAAACGGTGCAACCCCCTCCTGAAAACTCACCTGTTCAGGTTTGGGTGGGACCCTCCTCTCCGCCCTCGCCTGTTTCTGCTCTTTCTACCTATTCTACGTTTCCCAGGATCCACCGATTATCCTTTCCTTATTCATTCATTCATAGAGCACCTTCCACAAGCTTTAGCAGAAGCCCAAGTTGCTGAACACAATAACAAGCAGTTGCATTAATAAATACGGTGACAGATCAAACAATATAAACAGCATAAAACAGATTAAAAAACAACAAATAAACAATTACAATTGAGACAGAGTTTCAGACCCCAGTGGTGAGAACACCTGGACATAATAACGGACCTTCAGACGTGACTTCTGGAAGGAAGGCCTAACAGTCACAGGTAGACCATTCCACAGAGCTGGAGCAAGGACCGCGAACGCACCACCTCCCGTCGATTAGCTCCTGGAACGAGGGACCGCCGGACTCGGCAGAGTGAAGACAGTGGGTGGGACATGTCTTTGTAGGACTGCTGATACATCAGCAGGAGCAGTGCACCCTGCAGAGCCCTGAAAGCAGCATCTGCACCTTAAACCCAGCTCTGTG